GCCGCCATTTGCCGCTCCAAAACCACAGCCACTGCCACTGTTGTAGGAGTGTGTACACCCTTGAGAGCAGCCCATGCCTTTGGTCCCTTTACTGGTTCATGCTGAAAAGGCTTGATGTGACGGATTTGGCTGCTCCCCAACGCTTGCCCAAGTAGAAGGTAGCCTTGTGTGCTCTTCCGCACCCACGGGCTCTTCTCCGCATCGTTCTCGGGGTGCTTCTCCATTCCTTCCATCACCTCCAGCAGATCATAGTGGTCAAAGATGTTCTCCATCTTGAAGGACCACTCAGCAAAGCTGTCATAAACTTGTCAAGGCCAAACATTCTAGGCTCATCCCTAGAGGGACCAAAGCTAGGTTGCACGGGAGCAATGGGTGGATCTTGGTGTTGGCCTTGTACTTGGGCATCTTCTCTTCCTCCAGCACCTCTGCTACCCCTTCTCCAGATCTAGGCATGGTCTAAATGGCTCCAAGGGGCTCTGATACCACTTGTTATAATCACAATAGGCTCAGATGTGCCTAAAATGAGAGATAGAGTGCACAGTCGGATTTCCGTTAGACGGATTCAAATATTGATACCGATCTGATATTTGCTTCCAACGGTAATATGAAAACTGGATCTGGAGCGCGTCCATGTCGCCTTTTAGCAGCAAGTTGAATCATGAAATTCCATGAAGATTTGACGACGCTATGGCGGTATAGCTGGCAGGAGGTATTGCAGCCACTGGAGTATTAGAAGTACAACCTTAGCAAGAAGAATCGAGATTGAGATGGTTCTCAGCCTCTACAAGCCCCAAGAGCCGAGGTCCAGGTTGGTGGTACACCACCACAGAGTTCCCAACCACAAAGGGACTCGAAACAAACTCAACAAGGGGCTGGACCAAGTGAAATGTAACACTACATCAAGTAGTATTACGATTTTCACTATTTTAATATTTATCAACTTTGCTTGGGTTTGAAATTTTGAGCTCTTGGTCTTGATTCTGCAAGAAAGTTTCTTCTTGAAGTGATGAGGGCTTGCTGCACACACCTGTGACGCAATGAACACTTCACACTCAAACGACGACTTGACATGCAGATTGTGTAAACTCGCTAATGTCTTGACCGACACAGCGAGCGATCTGAACCAAAGTGTGGTTGCATCTCTCTGCAATGCCGTTCTGCTGCGGGCTTTCAGGGAGCGTGCGCAAAAGTTATGCCGAATCCCTTAAGCTGCGCAAAAGTTATCGAGTTTGCCATTGCGAAATTTTCCCCAGCCATCAGAATGGAGGCACTTCAGAGGAGTGCTGAACGTGACTTGAGCTTGGCGCACCCATGCTATGATGAGGTCAGGTGCCTCCGCCTTGGTATGCAGGAGGTGGACGGAAACATACCGCGTGTGCACTAGGTCCAGCGGAGCAGCTGTGACAGATGGGGAGGAAGGGTGCGGCTGCTGCCTGAGCTTGCTCTTGGTGCAGTCCAGGCAGGTGGGTGCAGGTGAGTCTGTTGGTGGAGGAAGCGCCGACGGGAGGCCAAGAAGAAGTTTCTTGGAAGCGATGTCGGCAAGCATACGGAAGTTGGGATGACCCAAGCGATGGTGGTAGAGGATGGTTGGGTTGGCAAAGCTGCGACAGGAACATGGAGTGGTGCTGGCAGCTTGCGCTTGGGAGAGGGTGGCGAGAGGTGCAGGTGAACGCAACGTGTAGAGCTTGCTGCTATTGAGTGTGAAGCGTGCTAGGTGCTTGTTGGACTTAGGGTCGAGGAGGTTATAGTGATCCGAGTGTGCTGGGAAGATCGTGGTGACACCTGCCCGTTGGAGCTCGTGTTGGGCCACGAGATTGTGGCGTAGTGTGGGAACACACATGCTGGTGACATTTCCCGAAGGGAAAGCTGGCACGGAACTGTGGAGGAGCCCTTGGCGTGTGTTGTGAAACTGGAGTCTGCTCGTAGTAGACGGATTGGTCTCTTGTATGGCTTGAAGGAGTGTTCTTCCTTGAGAACTGTGTGAGTGGCCTCACTATCGAGGGTGAACTCTATTGTGGCTGAGGCGCTTTGTGTGCCAGGACACAGCGAAATTGTCTCATTAATCATGGCAGTGCCAGGGAACAACATATTATGGCGCACATCAGCAGGGGGGGCTACAGCAGCCTTCACGGATTCCTGCGCTTCGACTTGATTGGTGCCGGCACACACGTGGCCGGCACGAGGGCCGTGCTTGATGGCGTAGGGACATGGGGGAAGCGGTTGCGCTGGAATGGTGCCGAAGCGGCATAGGCCTGAGACACATGAGCGCGGATTGCATTGGCGTTGGCTTGAGCGCTGTTGTCCTTTTCGGCAGAAAGGAGCGCAGATGAGACCTTGGCGAATGTGAGGTCCGCAATAGCAATGCCCAAGAGCATCTTGCGTGTGACTTCGTATGCCGGAGTGAGGCCGACTAGGAGAGCGGCTGTAGGGGCTTGCTCGGGGAAGACTATCCCCAACTGCTTGAGTTCACCATGAATGGACTGCACCTTGGTGACATAGTCCGCCATGCCTGGCGAGTCCTCGAGCTGCACATGGAACATGCTGGGAAGTATAGCAACTCCCACTGCAGTCTTGTTCAGGAAGCGGTCTTCGAGGTAGAGCCAAATGGCGTTGGCAGACGGAAGTTGTGGTAGGTTTTGACGAGTTCGGGAGGAGTGGTGCCCATGAAGACACTAATGACCGCACCATCGGCCTTTTCCCAATTCTTGTACTTGAGTTGTACAGCAGCATAAACTGCTTCGATGGCGGCATTAGCTGGATCGGCGGACCTCTCGGGTTTAGGAGGCTCTTTGCCATCACTTATGTTGAGAAGGACGTCGGTGAGCTCAAGCCTGTTCACCTCGCGACTGAGGAGGTGCTTGTCGACACCATAGTGCCAAGCCTTGTAGTTGGAGCATGTACCGTCCGGCTTGAGAAGAAAGAGCGGGATCGGGTTGGCGAGTGAAGTGGTTGAGTAAGCCATTGCCGCTTGATTTTCGCAAAGCGACGCTCTTAAGTCAACGATAGGAACTTCGGTGCACAGCTCGGCACTTAAGGAAATTCAGTCGACGAGAATTGCTGAAAATCACCCAGACGGCTTCGTCGAAATGCCGCTAAGAAGAAGTGGTGTCCGCGAAAGTTCGTTAAAACGCGGACTTGAAACTGAATCTGAGACTTTGTCTAACCCCGGACCCACACACCCCCTACACACCCCCAGGCCCTGTCCCGCAGCTACACAGCTCCGCAACCAGCTCTGCAACCAGCTCCGCAAATAGCTCCGCAACCAGCTCTGCTCCGCTTCCACCTGTGTTCCTGCTCTTACTTGATGCGAGACGTTCGTGGAGGCAATTTCGCGAGGAGATTTCGCCTATTCTGGCCAGGTCCGAGGGGAACCTCGGAAACGAGTTTTAAGAGATGGTCGAAATTGAGTTTTGACCAAGGAGAACCGAGGAGGAAATCGATGATGAGAAGCATGAAAGCTTTCAAGTTGAGAATTTCAACGAGGTTGAGCGCGAAGGCGGTCGACAATGAGAGGCGCCACTGCAGAGTGGAGCACGTCGAAAATCCCGACGACTCAAGACGAATGTTGCGATGATGAGGTGTGCGTAGTGCGGGCACGTTAAGGTTAGGACCTTGATCCACGTGTGCGGATAGGTCGCTGTGATACCATGTAGAAATAGAGCTGAAAGGATTCATTAGGTAAGGAGCCCAAGGCTCTATAAGTACATGGCAAAGGTGAGAGATTATGGATGAAGGGGGAATCGGAAGGAATCCCTGTTGGGGTCTCCAGAATCTCCAATTGGGTAATTGGAGATTGGAGGGATCACAATTGAGTGAGGTTGGTAATTTATGAGAACATTCCTAACCTAAACTAGGATATAAAAGTACAAATACAAAAGTGGGATTTTCAATCTATTTCTAACAAGTGATCATTACGCAGAGCTGGTGGGTTGCCTCATGTACCTGATGACTTGCACTCATCCAGATCTCGCATACCCTCTCAGCTTCCTGGCTCGCTTTGTGGCCACAGGCAGACACCGACCACAGGTCCGTTCGGCTGCCAAGAGGGTTTTGCGTTGTCTAGCAAGTATATCGGGCATGGGGCTAGTGCTGGGAGGACGCAGCCAGTGGTCCTTACTGGGCACACAGACGCTTCTTGGGCAAAAAACGCTGAGACTGTCAGGTCCTCGCAGGGCTACTGCTTTAGCCTTGGTTCGGGTGCCATCTCGTGGAGGTCCACTCACTCCTCGTCTATTGCCCAGTCTAACTGTGAGGCTGAGATCTACGCCGGTGCCATGGCGGCACAGGAGCTCCGCTGGCTGACCTTCTTGCTCACTGACTTTGGTGAGTGGCCTAGCTGTGCCCTGGTTCTGTTCGCTGACAAGAGGGTGATGATCCTCCTCTGTCAGGAGCCTCGACTTGAGGAAGAGAGGAGCACATCCAGCTGCGGTACTTCCTCCTGCGCGAGCTACAGCAGCGTTGCCAGGCCCGCGTAGTACACTTGGCCTCCGGTGCCAACACAGCTTATATCTTTAGTAAGGCGTTTGCACCTAAACATCATCAGCGGCACTGCTTGCAGCTTGGTCTATTTCCTGTAGATTCTCACTTGCTAGGACCTTCATTGTGTACTCCTCTTTATATTTACCTTCCAGACTGGCCTTGTGGCTTCTCTTCTAGTGGCTGGACTAGTAGTGCCGCCCTGGTTTGTATTCTTATTGACACGAGTAGTATGAGAAAATCCACTCCTTGTTTCAGAGTAGTAAAAATCCAAATGTAGGCCCTGGCAAGCACCAACCCGTATTCTCTAGATAGAAGACATACCCTAATCTCCCGGCATGAGCACCCTAGGTCTTGGTAAATGTTGGGTGGACAATTAGGTGGCATGTTCAGTTAATTTCTATGTAAGATTGATTTTTTTACCATGTAGTGCTTTGACATAGACTTTATAGGGGAACCTTTGTGGGTGACTGGGCCGGATTCTTATCCTTGCCTCGCGACACGTTTTTGTCTTTGACGGCTGCCAAATCTTGTGCATTGGCGCGTCGTGCAGCTTACCTCTGAAGTCGAGCCCCCTGCAGGTGGATCGGCAAGCGTCCCTATGCTGCGCTTCCCGGAAGAAATCATTGTCGAAGACATGGAGGCCTGCCGTCTGCTTGACACGTGTGAGAGTCACAAAACACCATCGGACGTCGCGCACCATCCTAAGAAGCTGGGGTGGCTGCAGAAGATGCGCGAGGAGCGGCTGTCGATGCGAGCTGTGGCGCGCGAGGCTGGTGTGGAGCCAGTCAGCATCCGGCACTGGAGGCAGGCGGAGGCGGACATGGAGTGCGTTGTTGGCTCTCGACGTCGCCTCACTGGTGCTGGTCGGGCGGCTACGCATCCCGACATGGAAATGTCGGTCTACCGCTATTTCTTGCAACATCGATCGCATGGTCTCACCAATCGCTATTGCCCTCCTGCAGGTGTGGAGTCGGCAGTACATGAAGTCCCACCACCTGGAGGGCGATTGGCCGGATTCAGCCAACTGGACGTTCAGGTTCCGTGCAAGGTGGGGCCTCACTGTCCATGTGAAGACAAAGATCAGCCAGCGATTGACGTTGCAGTACGTGTTGTGATTATCCTCTCCTCCCGATTTCTCCTATATCACTCATGCTTTGGGTGTGCTGTAAGCTAACCTCGCTCGTTGTCTCTCTGTGGCTGATTGCATGCTGGATAGTAAGCAATTCTGGAGGACCCCCTGGAACAACGTAAATGCGGACGAGACTCTGGTTTTCCCGGAGATGCCCGTTTGAGCGGACCCTGCACTGCCGTGGCGACCGCTCCGTTCAGATTCGAAGCGCGGGATACAAAAAAGATTGACTCATTATAATGCTGACGGCCGCAAGCTTTCTCCGATGGTGATCTTCAAACGGAAGATTATCCCCAACATCCGCGCTCCCACTGGCAAAAATCTGTTTTGTTTAACAGATTTTGCCTACCAATGCACTAACCCTTCTCTCTGTGCTACGCGTAGGTGATTTTCTGCGAGCCCAGGAGCGAGGCTGGGTGGATTATTGGCCTCGTTCCGGACTGGGTGCAGCACGCCCTGTTGCCTTTCATCCGCCCCCCCCCCAGGTGTGTCAAGGTCGAAGACCTTGCTCCTACTACATTCCTATCACAGGCACCTCACGGACGTGGTGCTGGGCTCCTTCAGGTGGCATCGCATCACGCCCGCGATCATCCCAGGCGGCTGCACGCCCTCCCTGTAGCCACTCGACGTGTTAGCAATTGCTGCTTCAAGGCGGGCGTGCGGCGGCACTACAACGAGTGGTTTGCGGCAAGGGGATCGACACACCCTGTCAGTAAGCATGCCTGCTCGCTTGGATCTCTTGTTGCCACGATGTTAGTGTGGCCGTCTCCCTCTGTGCTAATCTAACCCTTCTACTCCTCATCCTTGCATATCCCTCCCCAAACAGGCAACTTGAGGAAGCCGCCACCGGGGTTGGTGGTGCTATGGGTTGTTCACTCCTAGGACGATGTACCAGAGGATGTGATCGTCCATGCCTTCAAAACCTGCCGGATCAGCAACAACCCTGATGGGATCGAGGACCACCTGGTTCTCGCTCGTTGTGCACGACGACGTGCACTCCGCCCCAGAAGTCGAGGAGTGGATTAATCCACTCTACATGGCGGGAGAGGAGGTCACGGAGGAGGGGGATGAGGAGGCTGAGATGGAGGGAAAGGAGGCAGATAGGGAGGTAGAGGAGGAGGAGGAGTATGAGGCAGTGGCGGCAGCAGCAGCAACGGCAGCAATGGTGGACAAAGATGCCTCCTCTGCGGAGGCGGCAAGCTTTGGCGACAAGGGAGACAGCTTCTCTGCCTCATTTGAGTGATTGGCGCTGCCAAGGAGGGCAGTGACCTTAGACGCAGTGTCGGGATGTCTGTAGGATGACTGCTAACTATTGATGGTGCATGTGTAGGGATGCGTACAACCAGCAGAGGTCGTTGGATGGCTTCATGCAGTAGTGTCCTCAATGTAGTAGTATTCCCTAGAAGTTGAACTTGGCACTAGTATTTCCTAGGAGCTGCAGGAACCTGTCTGTAGTAGCCCTTGAGAGCGGCATAATAATAATAATAATAATAGTAATAATAATAATAATAATAATAATGACAACAACAACAACAATAATAATTATTATTATAATAATAATAATTATTATTATTATCCTTTCTCCACTCAATATTTAATACAAAACACGCACTAACTTGGGGGAGGGGGGGGGGGGGGAGGGGGAGGAACACACACTAGCGGGTCCTCGCAATGTATTGCTTTTACTAAGCCCCATCCCTTGGAAGCAAGCCCCATGGGCTTTTTTCGGGGGGGTGTTCATGCCAGGAGATTATATTCGCGTCCTACATACTATATAAGGCAGAGAATTTCGACCGCACTATCGTATAAACAGGGAAAACTCAGGTTTCTTGCCATAAGGTATTCCCCATATATAACCATAGATAACACCCTGCAAAACTGAACTCTCGTGGGTTTCTTGACACCTGCCTTTTGGGCTTGGTAACTACTTGAATACCCCCTGGTCTACAGACATCCAAGGTTGGACGACACATAATTTTCCTGAAACACAACATATTTCAACCTCTTGCTTCACCTAAACATGGCTGAAAGTACTCTAGGCATGTGCATCAGGTCTTGCATCCTCCGCTCCTGCATACTGTATTTTGCCTCTCTGTGTGCATGTTGCATAAAATCTCCACCTCCGCCTTGTTGCGGAGGTGGCTTAGGATGAGTTTTTCTTATGAGCCATTGAGGTCGTTCGAGATCCCGCAAGACTAGAAGCTTTTGTGGATGACCTCCTCATGGACTTCCTCCAGAGCGAACGATCCGCTTAAGGATCAGCTCGGGGGCGGGATTCTTTAGGATAGTTGCAAGGTACTGTACAACGCATGTGAATCTTGGCTAGTCTCGAGGCCAAAAAGCTAAACAAGCACAAGAGAAGGACTATAGGACAAGAACAATGGAGCGTACCTTGCTTTCTCTTGCGCTCGATGCGTATCTCTCAAACCACCCACCATCTTCACTTCGCACGTCTGCCTTCAAGGATTTGTTGATCAACACAGCGAGTGGCTTTACCAATGGCGTGCAGCCACTCAGGATCGCGGCATGGGTGAACTTGCACAAACCGCCTCTGTCAGGTGGTCCTTGTAGGAGTCAACGACGATAAGAGCCTCCTTCCTCTCCCTATTGGCTTCACACAGATGCCTCATACAGTAAACAGGTTCAGGGCCTTCTAGTCCGAAACAAGCTTCTCAGCTATCCAACCCTTTGGCTGGGTGCGAATAATAACTCTAGTGAACAAACAACATTCTCGGTTAGAATCAAGGATAGAGCACGACCAAGAACATGAGAAAATCTGAAATGGTAAAGAACTTACCATTAGGGACTTGAATCTTTGGCAAGGTCTTCCTCTTGAAGATAGCGTACGGCGGCAGCATCTTGTCCGATGCTGTTACCACCAGCATGACGGTGAGTCTTTTTTCTCGTAGCCCGTGGTCCTTGCGTCGGTCATGCGCATTCTCTTGTGCTCCAATGTTCTCTACTGCAGTATCTTGATGAAGAGGGGTGTCTGGTTGGCGCTCACTACCAAGACGAGGCCATATTTGTTAAGGATGTGCATCTGCTTGAGAAAATCGCAAAAGTTCTAAATTTTGGCCTTCATCTCTGCACCAGCAACATGAAGGAAACAACGGCCATTAAACTGGTACAGCAGGTTTGATTATCGCCGGCAAGCTTCTGCCCCACATTCGATTTGACGCGACACGTTAGCTTCTAACAAGCGCAAAACTGGAAGTCCATTGACTGGACCCACACTAGTCCATGTCAAGATGGTTTAGGAGCAACTCCTATGCAGCTGCAAGACCAAGAAGGCTAGCCCTTGCTGCGGTGCCTCATTAATTGTCGATGAGCGCTGACTCCATCAAAGGGTATTTGGCAGGTCAACCAGTGCCGATGAGCCGCCTTCGACAACCAGCTGCGACTCTCAATTGCTCCCTTGCCTTCTTCCACTCCTGAATGCCAACGGGCTGAACCCTTGCGAGCGTTGCAAGGGCACGAATAGAGAGCTCAGGCTGTGTGTCAAACATTGCGAACTAATACAGCTTCTCTGTAGCGAAATAGGAGTGACGCGCTCGTTTCAAGACCCTAGTACGTGGGCCAGTGGGTTGGCATTGTGGTTGATGGTCAGTCCTTGCAGTTGCACAATGGAAGACAGGAATGACGGGACATTCGCATGGGGTAGCAGACGTCGACCCTCGCTAGCACCACTGGCTTCATCACCGGCAGTTGTGGCACCGTTGCTAGCCGCACGGAGAGGGCTCCAAGGCGGATATGAAACAGAAGAGTGGCAGTCCAGAGCGGCAGAAAAAGGTATGCTGACATAAGAGACGCGTTGAGCTAGGAGACAGCTGAGACCAGAGCCAGTAGTCATGGAGTGGGTTAGCTTCGAGACAAAGGGAGGAGATCCCAAGATGCCTTCGAAAGCCCATTCCAATGCAGTGTTGAAAGCATCTTGGTCTCAGACTGCAGATTGAGGAGACGTAGCGGGCAAGAACCCCCTGCCAACAAGAGGTGGAGAGAAAAGGGGCATGAGCACCAGCAACTTTTTCTTCGCGCATATCGCCTCTAATAAACCATCAACCCCATGTATAAGACCCACTCCCTAACATATGTCTTAACATACTACACCCAAATTGTGCCTTATAAATGGGAAGTCATGAGGAAAGGAAACACCCGTATATTTGACAGGGGTGCTTACATTTCAGCCATGTCTTCTATCTGGGTGAATATAGTACCGCAGTCCCCTGCAGTAGGCACCATGGGGTGTGTTGGTGCATATTCATTTGCACGTCATCCTGTCGTCTGTTCGCATCATTTCGTTTGCATGTGTTTTGTGTGCTACGTTGTTTGTATGGTTTGTTGGGTTTGCATGTCTTTGCATGTTCATCTTGTGCTTGTGCAGATGTGCTTGGATTGTGCATGACATCGAGCACATTCCAACGAGCCAAGAATTGTTGGAATCGGAGCACATATGAAGAAGTTACGAAGAAATGTTTGATGGATTTGTTACAACTCATTGGAAGTCCTTGTCAGCTGCTACACCAAAGTTGGAGAGCCCTATAACGAGGAGGGACCAGCATGTGTGGGACTTTTGTCCCCACCTTGCAGCTGCAGCATTTGGGGTTTGGAGGCCAACCTGGCACAGTGTGAATTTTGTCTTGCCAGGCTGGCTGAACCTGAGGATGGGGAGTCAAAACTTTGACTCTTGTCATGTTCTTGACCATGGGCCTCCAGGGTCCTTCCCTTTCATCCTTCCCTTCCTACCCCACCTTCCAACTGTGCTTCAATGCCTTTTCTATCATGCCTCTGATCTTGTAAGCTTCAAATTAGTGACTCTGAGGACTGTCAACTTCTCCTAGGGCAGATTACCCCCCAGTGCGCCAAACGCCATAGCTCACTCGTTAAGCTACGGAATCGAGTGATTCAACTTTCAGTGGAAAGCTGACGCTGCCAGCTACAACATATCCGATTTTCAGATCGTTTCACCGATTGGAGTTTTGGATATAGCTATTCGAAGGTCGCGAGTTTTCTGGGCGTCATAACGAAGTGCTGCAGAAATTTCCAAGGAGCCATTGAATCATCTGCTTATAGCCTTCTCTAACCAACAAGTGGTATCAGAGCCTATTATCACGCATTTGGGACCTAAAATACGATGGGAGATAAGAGGACTCTGGTGGAGGTGATACTTCAGTCCAAGGAGGCAGCTCAACCCAAGATTCTGGCATTGCAGCGCAAAGGGGAGCGCGTACAAGCCAGGGGTCACTGCTTAAGGAGGTGCTGAAGAACTTCACCATTGAGAAGTTCTCTGGAGATGGCTATGATGATTGGGCATGGAAGATGCAGCTCTACTTTCGACAAATTGGCCTCTTGAAGCTCATGATTGGAACGGAGCCAAGGCCAAAGGAAATGGCAGAGCAAGCGGACTGGGATGAACGTTCATCTGCTGGGTATTATCTACTGTCACAAAGCTTGGAGCTGAACCAGAGGCATCACATCATGCATCTGCTACCGGAAATTGATTGTGGGCCCAAGGCATGGGCAGTGCTCAAGGACCTGCACGCTCCGACATCGGTTGCCGCTTCTCTCATGCTGGATCGGGAGCTGTCCATGCTGCGGTTGAGCGAGAATGAACCTGTGCAGCCCGTACTGGACAAGATGAGGGAACTCTACGCGAAATTGGCGATTGCAGGCATCACGTACCCAGAGCAGACAAAGTGTCTCAAGATGCTCAGCCTGCTGCCGGAGTCTTGGCTGCAATTTATAAGCGGACTCAGCTTGCCACAAAACCAAAGTCAATGGACATTGGAGTGGATTCGCACCAAGATTCTGGAAGAAGATTTTCGTCGCTATACACTGCGCGGAGGTGATGACAGCACCAGCGGCTATGCCATGCAAGGGACATGGAGGGATCGAGGGCGTGGCAATCGCGGTCGCTCTTACCACAGCCAAGGTGGTCGCGGGACTTGGAACCAGCGGGGGCGTGGTGGCGCTGGTGCAAGAGGAAGAGGTGGTCACTCCAACAATGACAACAGTGAACCACGCTTGAGGGGAGAGTGCTGGTATTGCAAGGAAGAAGGGCATCCATGGTTTCGCTGCCCTACCAAGCCCGACTGGTGGACCCCTTGGAACCAATCGCAGAAGGGGAATGGAGGAAAGCAACCACATGGAGGTGCCAACATGGTAGCTGATCCTGCTGAAGAAACCTCCAAGGATGACAGAGGAATGGGAAATGAGGAGAGGAATGCTGGACAGTTCTACCATGTGTGTGACAAAGATGACAGTGGCACAGCTGTTGCAAGGGCTGGAGAGGAATTGCACCCGCTTGACATGTGGGTCATGGACTCTGGTGCTGCATGGACAATGACACCACGCAAGGACTTGCTGGATGCTGTGCGAGCGCCTCCAATCTCTGAAGTGCGCTCAGCATCCGGACATGCAGTGAAGGTCGCTGGAGTTGGTCGAGCTGCATTCAGAGCACCTGATGGTGGACTGGTTGTGCTGAAGGACGT